GGCGGCGCTGCGACCGCGACAGCCGCTGCAACCTGGCGCTCGGCCGCTACCTGACCTACTGCGGCAAGCTCTTCAATGGGCTGCGCTGCACCGACGAGTGCCGCGCCGTCATCGAGGACATGCTGGCCATGCCCAAGGCGGCGCTGCTCAACGACTGCGTGTGCGACGGCCTCGAACGGCCCATCTGCGAGTCGGTCAAGGAGAACATGGCCCGCCTGTGCTTCGGCGCCGAGCTGGGCACCGGCCCGGGCAGCAGCGGCTCGGACGGCGGCCTGGACGACTACTACGACGAGGAGTACGACGACGAGCAGCCGCGCTCGGGCGTGCTGCTGCTGCTCCGGCCGCTTTTCTAGTCGCACCTGCGGCCTGGGACCGAGAGCGGAGGGCAGGGGCGCCTCGGCCTGGCCAGTGTGTTCGCCGGGCCGGGCTCTTCCCTGTGCCCTCACCCAAGCGCGACTCCTTGGAGCTCTTCTCCGCCCCCACCGCGGGCTCCAGAAACTGCACCGAACTCTGGGCTGCACACCCCGAGGAACGGAACCCGAGCCTGAAAAGTGCTGGCCGTGGGGTCTTAACACTTCCGAGGGACTGGGTTTAAAGCTGGGGTGGGGGCGAAGGAGCCATGCACAAAGGGGCTGTTTATTAGCATTTTTCTCCTGAGGGGAGAAAATAGTGCTTGTGGCCGGGGAGGACACAGCAATCGTAAGTAAGAGAAAACTCCCACTTAGCGGCGTACGTTACTCGTGTACTCCCAGTATCAGCGACCGCAGTTCTCCGCGATGTTCGGTGGGAGGCGGCGACTGTCTTAGGAGGGACTCGAAACTGCTTCTGATGACTCTGAGCCCTTGACCTTAATTTCACTGCTACTATTCTTAGCACATTTGTTTAGGATTAGAGTCCAAATATGCCGCTCTGAAGAGTTACTGTGGCATCGAACAATGCAACTTTTTATTTAAAAAGCTCTGCACTGCCATCTGTGATGTTCGTGTTGCTGTCATTTCTGTTCTGTGCTTCGAGAAACTGTGTTCAGATGTGCGGAGAACACACTGCTTCTGCCCCTATCAGGGTGCTGAACCCTGGTATGTCGTATATAAAATGTATTAAAACTGGGGTTTGTTACCAGTTGTACTTTGTATATATAATTTTTATAAATTGTATGCTTCAGAAATAATTTATTTTTAAGAAGAAATTAAAAGTTTTAAATCCACACCCATGTTAAATCTTTTTTCCCCCAGAAATGTATGGAATCCACTTGTCACCAGGAATCCAAATCCAGAATCCGTTTGGAAGTGTGGTCTATTGAGAGAAGCCTTAAAATGTACAGTGTATTTTATAGATTTGAAGTAACATTCTTATTTTCAAGAGAATTTATGGACACTGTAGAAATGTATAAATGCATTTCCAAACTGCCTTAAACATTGTATTTTTATAGACCTCATTTTTTAAAAATCCTATGACTTAAATAACTATGGCTGTGTGTATTTGGGGGGATCGTTTTATTAAAATGTGTACATCAGTAAAGAGATTATAAACAATGATACCGTGTAGTTGCCTTCCAGAGTTGCACTGTGGCTAACCTAGTAACAGGTGAGGAGGGTGTACGGGGGCACTGGGAATCCGCCAGCCACTGGTGGAAATTAAAATGCAGTAAAGGACAAATGTGGACGATTTCTGCTTTTAATTTAATGAACAATTAGACATCTGTAAATGAGGCAGCTAAATAGATAAGTAACTGGCCTTCATTGATTTTTTTTTCATTGTGCAGAGAATTCACAAAACTCTCCCTTGCATAATTTGAAGACAACCTCAGCATCACACACCCCTCTCCCAGGACCCCTACCCCAGGAGTGTCCTGTCTGGCTACTAGACCTCCTCCTACAGCAACGTCTGCTACCGGTAGATCCTAGGAAACCCACAAGACTCCATACTGAAAAGTCATTTTCACACTTTTGATGAAAAAGTACAAAATTTTGTTACAAAACATTCCCCAGAGCAAAAGTAAACACACTGGGGAGAGGAATAATTACCAGAGCTTGTAATATTGTTGTGAAGGGTTGTTTAGCAGTGGGCTGAAGGCTGGGCTTCTGCCAGAGCTACTGATCTACACTCAAACGCCCTTAGATAAATAATTACACTCTTAAGCTGTGTCGAGTGCTGATACACTTGACCTTGTAAATAGAAATGTTTGCAGTAGGAATAAACTCCGGCATTGGAAAATCTTTTAAACATTCACACAAAAGAGAGCGCTCTGTCCTCCGGGGATTTGAGCCTGAACCTCGCCAAGCTAGGCACTTGCGAGGGGGGAAAAAAGTTTATTTATCTTCTATTCCTGGTGTTTATTTAAAGCTTTTCATTTTAAACGCCATGATTGGAAGGCAAGTCAGGAGTTTAAAAGTCACCACAAATAAACTTTGTCTGAGGGGTCGACAGATTAGCAAGATCTGGTGTCTCTTTATTTGATATTAACATGTGCTGAGAAAACATAACCAGATTTCTCTGCTGCCTAAAGTAATTAACAAAGCTATGCCCCTTCCAACTTCCTCCCACCCACTCTCACCCCCTGCTTGCTTGCAAGGTTTCTTTTTCCTCTTTCCCCGGCTTTTATGGAGGGATTCCAGGCACTTCTTGGTGCACATACAATGGAGATTATATGCACATGTAGTTATTCACAAAGTATAAGATAGTTGTCTACCAGAAGAGCAGTGTGGGCTTGGAATCTCCAGTCACCTGAATGGTTGAGTAAACATATTGTTAAAACAAAGCTATGGGTTGTTTCTTTGGGAAGTGAACAAAGAGTATTCCAGGAGACTTGTAAGTGAAATCAGCTTTCTTTAAAAAAAAAAAAAAAAAAAAAAAGGAGTTAGCAGTCCTCCTGCATTTGTCCTTAAATATATTTAAATCATCTCCCTCGTGTTATTTTAACACATTCTTGATTAAAAAAAAAAAAGTTAAGTCTTTGTCCCAGTAAAAGGCCCAGTTTTCCCCAGTAAGAAGTAAAAGGCATTAGCACTAGAAAAGGCCTGATAATTAACTGCTACAATAAACTCACAACTTGATTTTACAGGGTCCTGTCAAAAGCATCTGCCTGGAATAAATCAACCAGCCAGCGCTTGGGGAGAGAGGACTTGAGGCTTTATGCTTTCTTTCTTGAAGAAAGTGAACATTGATCTGCAGTCCATTTTGTGTAATTTAAACAATTATTGACTGGAGCCCAGAAGCCCCAGGCCTCCCTACAGATCTATTGGATTCCAGAACAGGTTGCTGAAATGTCAGGGCCCTTGGACTTTTGGTTGTGAAGTTGTGTGTTGCCATCTGCTTCTAGATAAAAAAGCATTTTTACAGATGTTGACATCTGCAATGTCTCACACTCTCCGGGGAGCCCGTTGGAATTCTGGAAATTTGGCAGTTTCAAATGTCTCACCGAGAATGCCAGCAAGTACCACTGACGAACACAAAGGTACCCTGCTTCTCCTGAGAACTCTCATGAACTGCCCTCCCCAGAAGCTCCCAGAGTCGGAAGGGCTCCTTTTGGATTCCGTGGAAAGTTAAGTGTCCCCACAGCCTTCCCATTTCCCCAGTTAGCAGGTTGGAATTCTCAGTGACAGTTTATTTGTCTTTGGAGGCACTTCAGTGACAAATGTTTAAGGGAGTGTGGGACAATGGTTGAGAACAAGGGGGCAGTTCATTGAACTGACAGTGACCATACAGTAAATAGAAGGAGGTTCAGGCTTCACTGCCCACCCGAGCACACAGCAATGCTTTTGTATATGATCACAATGGATGTAGCATAAGGTCTCTGTTTATTTTTAATGATATATAGCAGTGTACATGGCCATGCACGTACAATAAAGTGGGGAAATGGCTGTAAGGAAGTAAATTCTGCTGAACGGCAGGAGGTCGTTGAACTTGGGCAGCACCCTGCACATATCCACAAGGAAGAAAGCAGCTCCCAACCCTGACTGCTGTGACTTCAGGGGCCCCAAGGCCCTGGCACATCTGGACAGTACCACGGGTCTCCAGCGGGGCTGAGTCAGGGAGGGCCAGTAGCCTGTGTGTCTACCCCTAGACTCCAGGAAAACCACATGGCAGGGGGCTTGCTCTCCTTCCCCATGTTATGCCTTCACTCCTACCCAGCAAGGTTACATGGCCTTGAAGAACACCAGAATTTCCTACCTCCAGAACTTCCTGACATTAAGGCCTATTGGAAATCTCTCTTACCCTCAAACTTAGGAAAATTCTTACCTTCAAACTTTGGCTTTGCATCTCTGGTCCTTACTGAGTTCACTATGGAAACTCTCTAGCATGACTTCACGTTTCTCTTTTCAGAGCAGAAGAGAGAAAAGGAGAACTTACTTGGCTTTTGACCTCTTGCGCCAAGGAACCTCACAAATGCTGTTCCTTGACCTGGCTTCTCCGGGCTACTCAGAGCAAAGTTGTTGGGAGACTCGAATTAGGGCTGCCTTGTGGCCGGAGTCCTTAGGGGAGGTCTGGATCTCCTGCCTGTGAGTTCCATTGGACTTTACTGTACCCTGAGAGATTGAGACTGGAAGACAGTGGCAAGTGCTCAGCCCTGACTATCCAATGACAGGAGTAATGTGCTATTAGCATAAATACCTTCTAAGGCATCCATTTAATCGATTTCTCAAATAACAGAATGATCTACTACGAAATAGTGGACTGTATACACTATATTTTGGCACAAAGATGGTCATTCTCCCACTAGTAACCAGGGCTCTAAATAAATGATTTCAACAATGTTTTATTAAAGGACGACAAGAGCCCTCGAGCTGCATTAATCGGGAGAAGTCGAGTGGCACTTTTGTCATGGAAATGTTAAGCACATAATAGCGCGGCCAAACAATGTGCAGCCACTTCTTCCTTTCAGCCATGCTGACACCTCTTAAAGAGGAACTGCAGGGAAGGATGTGGGAAAGATTTGCTTTCCTAGAAAGCTTTCAGCTTATATTTCGGAGGGCTACCTCCAAACTCTGCGTAACATGCATGTAATGGAAGCCCAAAGGGCTGCTGGGAGGGAGAAAGGGTTTCCACCCAGTATTTCCAAAGCACGGGCTCCCCAGTAAAGCCAAGTCTAACTTTTTGAATGTGGCATTTGTCGAAATAACATTTTGCTGATTAGGTTGGGTTTGGCTTCATAAAGTGGATGGGGTTCAGTATATACCATAGGTAGCTTAAGGCTGTTTGCCTCAAGCAAACAGCAGGCTTTCTCACTCCCCAGACAGGTGAATTCACACAGTCACCCAGTACATCTTCACTTTGTACCCAAAGATGAAATGATAGTATCTCTTCCCAGGCTTCACAAATACCCTCGTTTTTTCTGGATATCAGTTTCTATCCT